AGGAATGTCAAGGATTTGACAGACGGAATCCTGTTTGTTACCAAGCCTCCATGTGATGAATGTGCTCCAATGATCAAGCTTAGTGGCGTAAAAACCATCGTAATCGGCGAGAAAATAGAGAAGAGTCGAGGCGGAGAACTGTCCTACAACCTGATTAAAGAGTACATTAAAGAAGGGATCATGACCTGCTATCAGATGGAGGCCACAAAAACAAAAGCAAAGCGTCTGGCTTCTGATCCAGAAACAAGGAAAAGACTGAAATCGAGCTGCTCGAATTCAAATGATGTTTGAACGTTTCGAAGAAATCTGTAAACATTGGATGATTCATAACAATATAAATAACTAGGATTTCCTTCTGGTTGAGGGAGATTATTTTGTCATTGATTTGGGTAACTTGTACTCTAGAAAAATTTAACCAGTTCCAATCAAGGAAAATTGTCCGATGTTTACCTAACCAAAGAAATTTGATAATTTCAATTTTATAACTTCTCATACCGTCGAAGAATGTCTAGTTTCGATATCGACAGAAGCATTGTTGAGCAACTACACTTGTCTGTTATGGTTAACATTTGTCTGGCTTGAATGTTTAAAAATTTTATAAATCTCTATTTGGTTCTATGCCTGATGTTCGTTATCCTGATCTAAAACTAAAACACAAGTTTACATGAAATTCAATGCGAGAGTTTCATATCGGCTGCATACTTTTAAAACAAATATCTCTGGATCTGCGGCTAAGAAACAGAACAAAACTTTTTACTCAATTAACTGTATTAATATATTGTTGTTGTTTTTGTTTTGTTTTAAGTTTGAAAATATTGTATAATTTTGTACACCAAGAAAGGATAAGGTATAGCATTACAGTGGCTACAGATGCATGGATATTTACTGAATAGAGGAGACGACTGTATTATATTAGGATGGTTGTTATATCAACTGTAAGGAATAGTTTTTATGAACAAAATTAGCATTCATTTCAATAAAGCTGTTGTCCAACTATCCACCGAATTAATCAGAGAGACTATTCTAGTGAAATATCATGGCTCTCCATCCTTTTCACGAAGACCATTTGTATAATTCAATTTCATTACAGTGTAGTTATTATGATTTATTCATAGTAATCTTTTTTTACCGTCCTTACGAAATGAAAACAAAGCCTAACTCAGGATGGAAGCCGTTTCTTACACGTTTCGCTCCATAAAATTCTTTTCGTGGAGGTTCTCTGACCTCCACCTCTGTTTCTGGTCTCAGGAGTCTTTTGGTGTTTGGGCGTCAACTTTCATTGCTTCTCACAGCCCGATTGCATTTCTTACCACTTTGGTTTCAAAACTCGAAATACCGGGTGAGCTGACAAGCTCTTAAGGTTCAAGGCTTGCCATTCTTGCGCTCAATTCTCCTTTCGCCCGTGCACCGTATTAGAAGGACATAAATTCTTGAATTTTTCGTCATATGCTCCCTACAGAAACTTAATAAAATTGGTAATGGTAGTTTGTGAGTAATGGGAGTCATGCATATTCCTTCTGTTCAACAGCTCAAGAGAAATCCTTGTTGGTTTTCCACGCTTCTTTTCCCAAAATTGACCATACAACACGGCAGTTAAGTAAAATAAAGGATCTAATTCAGCCTTAAGTCAGCATGAAGACAGAGAAATAAACTCATCCCCTCAAGTGAGCGTGCCCCCAAAAAGAAATCGTATTCCTAACCTTGAATTCCCGAGTCCATTCCAGACTTTTAATTTACCCGTCTTGCAAAGCGGCATAGGCTTCGATTTCATTCCCCAATTCCTTTGCGGTCTGTTCCCCTTTAGTAGCACGTGTTGGGTCGAGTATCGCCTCGCTTTGTTGGTGGTTGCGAATTTCGCTTTCCTTGAGGACCTATGCTTTGTCTGTTTAGTAGAACTGAATTTTTCAATGTTAAGGTACAACACTATCCATTACATCATTTGTCTTGCAAGGTTGAGCTGAGCGTAGTCGGCGTTTAAAAAAGGGGAACATGTAATTTGAACCATGAAGTCATGGATGAGGTTTTCACTTGAAAATTCCACTGTGATGACTAGAATAATCCCAGCTCGCTTTGAGTTTCTTTACGGAAACGTTGAAGAAAAAAGCATTCTCAAATTTTTCTCGTCTGAGTGGAATAATTGTTTATTTGAAGGTCGAGAGTGTTTCAAGAAGCTCATGGTTGATGTAAATTCCACGCACGTTCTAATGTCGATCCATTTTTTTTAATAGATTGCGAGAGTTTGGTGTTGATGACGGTTACAGAATGGTTCAGGAAATACTGCACAATCTGGAACTTTTTTTGCTGTCTAAACAAACTAAGGTATCATATGTAGAGAGGTTTGGTCAAATTTTTTCCTGAAGCAACGGGAATTATTCACACGTGCTGGACGCGCGTGGGGGTGCTGCTGTACATTCGAGTGGTACCGTAGCATCTCGTGTTACTTGTTGTTGGGTTGCCCCTAACCCACTGATGCTCTTGAAAACCTTTCTTAGTTGCAATTTGGAATTAATGCGTTTTAACTTGAAATCTAATGGATTATCTAAGAGTTTGTGTTGTAATTCCTGTTGTAGCTGTTTGGGTAGTTAATATGTCTGACTCATTACCAGAGTGCATTTTCTCACTCTGGCATAAGGTAACAATTTTTTTAGTTTCACTGCCGTTTGTTAGTTATTTCTTTTTTTGTGGTGATTGAAGTGGTTAAGTTGTTGGGAAACCACTGTGATGACTCGAATAATCCCAGCTCGCTTGGAGTTTCACTACAGAAGCATTGAAGAGTAAAATATTCTCTGTAACACAGTCTGAGTGGTTTTCCTTGAATACAATTTTACAAGGATTTTATTTTGGTATAGTTTGTCATTTGAATTGTTTATTTTTTAAGCCTGTTAGTAAAAATGAATAGGGAAAATTAGTGCCCCAACCTCACTCATGGTTTTCTTATTTTTTTAATCATTCATATTTTCATCAACTGAGTTGATGATGTATACTGGCTACCATAAATAGTTTCTAAAGCTGTCATTTTGTGTGTTATCTCTGCATCATAGCCCTTTTTCAAAGCTTGGATTGTCACCTTAAAGAAACTTTGTGGTAGTCAACTTATGTTATCAACTCAGTTTATAAAACCAAACACCTTGCAATATTTCTTCCCCCCACCAGCCTAACACCATAGTTTCTTTTGAAACTTTCCCCTCTTATATTTAAAACTTTTTTCAACCATTCTCCTTTGTGTTCCAGATTTAAATCAACTTTACCTTGGAGACACCACCAATCTCACATTGTACTTTACTTGCAATGAGGTAACCATCACATTCTGGTGAACCTTATCAAGAATTCCTTTTAACTACTATTAATAACAAGTATTCTATGCTGTCAATGAAGAACAATACGACAAGCATATGACTGAATGTTTCTGTTGAACTTTGATTATCAGAGACAGCATCATATAGTTAATGAAACAATTGTATTGTGTCTGTGCACTTTGTTTCAAGTGTTGTGAGTACAAAATTAGATCCTAGGAGGTAGACAGTATCCATGTAAGTGTTATGCCTTTTGTTGAAATCATAGTTGTTACTTTTATTACTTTTAGAACTGAAAATTAATGAGAAGCATTCTTTGGCTATGGGGCCTCTGAAATTGAAACTGTTCAAGCTTTTAACAAAGGGTGCTATTTTCTCCAAAGACCATCAATGCTAGGCTTTTCCTTTATTGGAGAAAAATTTATGCTGATGAATAGTTGGAAAACCTTCCATGCATTCACTACAGTGTATAAAAGGAGGCTTAGCAAATTTTACTCTTGATCCGAAATGGATTTGGTATGATGTGAATCCAGCCTTAGATACACAGTAGTCAATGATGCTTGAATTTGTTGGATTTAAGTTTGATTTGCATGATGCAATACTCTTGTCTTGACTTCTTCAAGAAACAGTGAGCTTATACCTCTTTAATTATACTTAGAAAGATGGACCAGTGAGATTTTGTTGTGTTTGTCTTAGGATTTGGTCAACCAAGATAACTGTCCTTGTGGGGTTGTTGCCTTGTGATGCAGTACAAAGGTTTTTATGTAAGTTGTTTACACTGAGCATGTTTAGTTGTCTTGATTTGGTACCATTTTTGTAACCCATGTAAGGTGATGTGTTTGTCATGTGATGAGATATTTCACAGACCTGTTCTGATTGTTTGTGAGGAATGTGAATATGTCTACTGATGATAAACTTTTTGCACAATGTAATTCTCCAATTATGATTGTATTTCAAATGAATGATTTAAATTGGAGGGAAATTGAAGTATCAAAGTTGTGATCAAGTTTAATTTTGCAATTGACTGCTAGAGAAGGTGGTGTTGGTTTTGTGAACCAATCTTAGAGCTCAAGGCAAAGCAAAATTAGTGTATCAGATTATTGTTAAGTGGTTTCAATTTTACCTCAAGCAAGTAATTCTCAGGTCTCGTTTATAAAAAATGAAGAGATCTTTGCATTTTTTTCTTCTTTCTCTATAAAATTTACTTGCATCCACTACCCTCTGCTACAGCAGATCTGAAAATGGTTAGGGGTGATTGACAACAAATTCCCAACAGAAGGAAAGCTGAAATGTGCTGTGGTTCAAGAGGAAAGTCAGTAAGGTAGCTCTGAAAGGTGTGTTTATTCTTGTTGAAATATAAATAAATTAATGCTAACAAATGTAAAATATGTCCAGGTTAAACCCACTGTATAAAGCAGATGTAATCTTAATCTTGATATGCCAGCATACATCACCTATATTTTGAGGAGTCCTTCACTGTTGATCAAAGACTCAAAATAACACGGACTGTTGCAACATTTGTGCCATTTTCTTTTCCATGACAAGACATAGTCCATGCTTTTGTGATATTTTACGTTCTTATTAGCCTTAAAAATTCTCCGTCATCACACTTTATTGTAGTGAATTCTTGTCTCTATCAATGTACGTGTACATGTACTTTGGAGTAGGAACATTGTGATGGGCAGTGAAGAAATGATGTCTCGTTCGTATGAACATCTGATTAAAATAACCTCACAGAGCTCTCACAATATCAGCTTTTATTTTCATAGTAAATAGTATGGAAAGGGGAAAAAATTAACCAGTATGTTTTTTCTATTCCTCAGTGAGGATGAACAGAATATTTTATCAGGTTTGAACATGTCTTATTTCATTTGCACAATAGTTAAATCATCTCCACAAACTCAGCTTCCAATTTTATTTACATTGGGTTTTGTTTTGTTGTTTGCTTTTGATTTTTTTTTCTTTCTTCATGTTTGTCTTGGGAAATCTGTCTTTAATTTCTCCTGGATCTGTCTTGTTGTTATTGTTAGTGCTTTGTGGTTTCACATCTTACCAAACTTGTATTGTGGTACTCTTTGCTGGTTGTTACTCCTGTTGACAAGTCTGAGGTCTTTTGGAGAAAAACTGCTTTTGAACAAGACAACTACATTTACACAAGAAAATGCCTTTTAATAAACTTAAAGGCATAAAATCTTTAAAATACTTGGGTACACAGATATAAAATAACCTGTGTGAAGATGTAATTTTGTTCAGGTGCTTTCCTGATTAGAGTGTATCAACAGAATATAACAAATATTTGGGGATACTTACTTCTTTATCTATTCTTTTGTATTTTACAGCATGAAGGTGAAGGAAATCCATATAAAGCATAAGAGTATTCACTCTTTTAGGGGCAGAATGAAATCCAGTTCTAGTCTTTGGATATTTTTCTTCATGATCCTTATTCAAACTTATTCATTATTGTCCACTCTTAGTGTTAGAAAATTGTTTTGAGGTTAGAAAATAAAGAATATTTCTGAAAGAGTTTTTGCTTACAATAAAATTTTTTAATGCTTACAATACAACAACAGAGACATGTGAGAACTTCTTAAGCGTGCTAAGTTACCTATGCTTCATAATAGATGCTTACAGAACATAGCAATACTAATGTATAAAGTAAAGAACGATCTAGTACCTAGCTACATATCTGAGATGTTTACTCGAAAAGGTACTCATTATTACCTTAGGAATAGTGACTTTGAAATACCACGATTTAATACTATACGCTATGGTAAACACACACTTAGGTATCAAGGACCATATATCTGGTCCAAATTAGAAAATGGTATGCGTGAACTACCAAGCCTTAGCATCTTTAAAACTAAAATCCGTAGAGTTGACCTGGCCAGCCTAGTGGAAGACAGGGGCAACTGCTGCAATCTTTGCAGCACATGATTTTTTTCTAATTATCTGAACATTGTTAATATTTCTAAATATTTTTAAATTTTAATGCATAGTTTATTGGCTATATTGTTACTTATTATGATTCTGTACATAGTTTTTTATTAATTTTGTAATAGTAGGTGTCCCCAATTAGCTCTATGAGCTAAATACATTGACACGGTAATAAAGATTTTATTATTATTATTATAATCTTAAGAAAATGGTTGTTTGGTCTTCTATCTTAACAGTAGCCAATTGTCAACCTTTGTTAAAAATAACTTTGCTTATTTTGCAAATATTCAAGAGTCATAAGTGGTTGGATAGTGCATTTTGTTTGGAAAGGAGAACATTCTCAATTTTGATGGCCCATTGCATTTTTAGAATGATATAAATATAACTTCAGGGTACAAAAAAGTATCTGGTTTGAAGTAACTAAGCTTTCTATTGCTCAACAAAAATCTTAAAGCTCTCTTTTACAATGTGTCTTATGAAGGTGGAATGCAAAGTACTGGTAGACAACTGTGCTTGATCAATCTCCACTCCATAGAAAGCAGATTCAAGTGAAGATGACTTTTAGCCCCTTAGGTTAAAGAATATACTCCTTGTTATTCCCACTGAAAATTTGTTGCAACGTTACAATTTTTCTACTGTGGTCTCAAGGTGACACATCATTAGTCCAATACTCTGGCCAGTGGAATGGTTTGAGAAGTTCTTAGCCTGATATTCTAATCACAGGTCACTACAATTCGTGGTGGGATTTTTTTAAGTGTGTCGGGAAATTAAATGAGTTCTTTCTGTCGAGCGCTTGGAATTGATGTCGATGGGTAAACATTCCCTTTCCGGTTCCCTCGCCAACCCTCTTCGGCCTTAATAGAGTTGGTACGATGTGGGATCATTACACAACGTCCTTACCAAACAAAAATGGCGGATGGGACGTCTTTGAAGAAAACATCAAAAAGTGAACTGTTTTCGTGGGTAAGAAAGGCGTAATTGACCTTAAATGTAACTGCAACCAAAAGCAAACAAGGAATTACAATCAAATTATTTGCATCGTGGTATTTAGGGGGCAAACAGCTATGGACAACTTTGTTGTGGCCACAAGAACGATGTCTCGTTTCCGGAAAACGTCGGTGCAAGTTGTCACCTAAAAAACAGTGTTGTAGCGGCGATAGACGGAGGTGGAGGACATACAGCAATTATCACAGGTTATGTACCTGGAGTTTTTCATAAGTGTTCTGATTTTGTGATCTGGAAATGTTTTTTTGAGGCCATTACCATGTAACCTTTTAACTCCTGCACTGTAAGAGTGACCCAGCATCTTATTTCCCTTTACAGTGATGCTGTTCAGTGATTTACTAAGATCATGAGCGTAAAGGAAGTGATCGCCAAGCTGTGATTGTTGAACAACTTGTCCTTATTAGTACCAAATAAAATGTATTGGGAAGAGTGTAGAGAATATGGGTACTGATGTTAGGATGTAAAGGTTAAAGGAGCATGATTCCTTCAAAAGAAGACACGTCAGTTGTATTTCAGATCCTTTGATGACACTTTGGATTAAACGCCATTTTTTCTGGATTATGACCATTTAGGGAGGGAGTTTTTGAAATCACAGGACCTGAATCAGGTACTGTGGTAAACACCAAGTTAAGTACTGAGTTGGATCTTTCCATATTCTTCTTCTTGTAGATAATTTTGTGCATGTAATTCATCTGTAAGCAAGACGTCCACCCATTTTCTTTGTTGTTCGATGCAGTTTTCTCTCTCTTTCATAGAGCGAGAGCCCACTGTGTTCCCAGCAAATGCTGGCCTAAAAGTAACGCTCTGCTCCTGTACCATACCATAACTGTGCTTTGGGGTAAATAAATAGCATAGTTGCATCCATAGTCCTTCATGGAAAATCACATATCATATCTTTAAGAAAGGAGAATCTGATGCCCAAAAATGAGTTTGTAGTTGCACAAGTAGATGTTAAATCCCTAAGTCAACTTGGTCAGCTCCAGAGCATTACTTATCACCATTTTTCTGATTAGTTTTATTTTTATTATTATTTCTTGCATCCTTTGCCTTTTGCGTTAATTTTCAATAAAGTCTACAAGTCCTCAGCCTCTACGTTCGCTATGAATGATCAACTAAAAAGGTTCAAAGTAAAAATGAAGGAATGGTAAGGGGCCAGCTTTGTTGGCCTAGTTGAGTTGCGGTCAGCTAAGCATGTTGCCAGCAGAAAACAATCATAATGTAAATTTCCTTCTGGGTTGGAAACCAACTGTTTGAAGGTGCTTCTTTGTTTACTTGTTTTTATGATTGCACCATGATTGAAGGAAGTTTTGCATGGATTGAAATGTCCTTGTGTGATTTTTCCTTCCTGTAAGATAAAATCGGTGGCTGGTTAAAAGATATGTGTAAGTCTAGGCTGCTGTTGAAGGGTGTGCCAGTTTTTCATGAGAACCTTTTTAAGATTCGATATGGCTGTATTATAAGTGGTAACAAATGGTAAAATTTCTTTCACCTTCTTTGTTTTGTTATGAAGGGTCTTTGTTGTGATGGATTTTATGAACAAGCGTCATAGGATAGCCTCTGTTACAGAGTCTTTGTTGAAGATCTTGTTTGTGTTTGTCAAAATTCTCCTTACTAAGTTGGTTCTTAAAAGACTTAGTGCTTCTCTTTTGATAAAACCCCTTTTCATATTAAAAGGGTGGCAGGATGAGAAGTGTGTACACTGAAAAGTTTCAGTGGGTTTACAGTGGGATTGTGAATTGAGAATTTTAAGAGTTGAAAAATGGGGTCCTTTGAATATCTCGGTGTCAAGAAAAACATTTCACCATTTGTGTGACATTTCTATCTACCTACCTTCAATAAAATGACAAGGTTGTCCTTAATCTCATCCAATAATTGTTTTCAATTATTTTCAGGCAAGGGCAAGCTGTTCATGTGTGGTTGGAATAACAAAGGTCAGCTGGGACTTGGTGATACAGAAGATCGTCAAATTTTGTGCCATGTTCAAGGTCTCAGTTGTGTCAAAACAGTTTCATGTGGATGGAATCATACCTTAGCTGTTACTGGTAACACTGAGTTTTAAATTTGCTTTAAGTACATTGCACAGCACATTTAACTTGTTTAGCTTGATGACTCCCAAACAATAAATACTTCTCTTTTTCAATTAGATCATCAATTACTGTTTGTGCATTACAAATTTAGTCACATGCTATCAAAATATATCTCGTATTTAACATTTTTTGAGTATTTTTTCTTGTAACTCAATCACAATATATTTGTTGAGACACTCTACCTTCACCTTTCTCAATTCAAGTGCTTATGATATCCATGTCTGTGTTACCTAACTTTTATGGAAGTTCCATACCTCCAAAAATCAATGGTTGTATAATGAGGACCTCTGAACTTTGCTCAAGTCTTCCAAAGATGAATGCCAAAGGTTGCTGAAAGAATCAATGTGTTAAAAACAAGACTGCTTTTCTCATGGCCGTGCACTCAGCTCTTCAATCAGTTTAAATTTGGTTTTATCCTCACTCAAATTTTTTTTCAGATGCCGGTTTGTTTGTTTGGGGCTCAAATGCATTTGGACAACTAGGTATAGAAAAACTTGGTGGTCACATGACCACACCTGCAAAATCTCAGGTATTCACAATTGTGTGAATGTTCTTTTTTATTTTTAATTTTGTATTGAACTCTACGTCAAAGATAACATACAATGCATATCTTTTGTCTTTTATGTTCTTTTCAAAAATTGCTTTTTAAGTCCATAAGCTTGACAAAAATTGAATTTCCTA